CATGTAAATAACATTTAGAAAGTAAGATAACCACTGTCCAGAACCATTACAAAAATCAAATTCGCCGCTAAGTTCTTCTATTTTTTTATTTAAATTAGCTTTTAGATTTTATAGGCAGTCCGTTTTTTAAAAACAATAAAAGATTCTCACCAGCTTAACACTTCTCCTCCATATTTCTTTTGAGGCCGCCCTGACTTTGTCAGTCTTCACAGACTGGAATTTTTATTGCCAGCAGAAGACTTTTGCCTTGCTTTTCTTGGAGATTTTGCGCTATCCCCGAGATCAGCAAGATGTAATCTTCCTGTTCACCATCTCTTCGGGATGATTTAGGTCCGTTGGAACCCCCCAGCAATAAAAGTGTCGAGTGCAATCTCAGAGTTTTGAGATTCTGCATCATCTCGTCACGGCATCGGCCCCTCCCATTCCCACATCTTTCTTTATGCCAGGCCACCAAAATTGCCTCCGAGCTAAGTGTAAAGTCTTTAGGAACCCAAAGTGGCCTCCCGGTTTGGCGTTGTGGCTTCTCTGGAGAATTAGGGTATGTAGGGATTCTGGGACGTAGAGTTTCGTCTCCTTCCATGCAAGGTCATCTCTTTTTGTCAAGATGTGTTGGTTGTTTTGGAACCAGGGGTCTGCTAGCAGTTTGGTTTTTAGCCTCATGATTAGGTCGTTTGCGGGTTGGTTTTGCTGGTCATGGCGTTGCCGCCTGGTGGTCACTTGGGCAGCTGTTTAAGTAGAGGGAATGATGACGTCCACTAAGTGCTCCTGTTCGCATTTGTACTGAGGCATGCGGAAGACGGCATCAGCTAGAAAGTTCCTCCCCCCGGAATGTGCTTTAACCCAAAATTAAAACGGTTGAAGTATTGATCCCATCGGACTTGTTTGGGTGATAGTTTCTGTGGGGTCCTAAGCGCCTCCAGATTTTTGTGATCTGTCCATACTTCGAACGGTTTCTGGCCCCCTTCCAGCAGGTGTCTCCAAGTCAGCAGTGCCCATCGCACTGCGAAAGCGTCCTTTTCCCATGCGGCTCATCATCTCTCTGTGTCTGTGAGCTTGCGGGAGGTGTAGGCGCAGGGTTGTACATTTCCTTGGTTGTTTCTTTGGAGTAGCACCGCTCCCACTGCCATGTCTCTGGCATCTACCTGGATCACGAAGGGTTGCTCGGGGTCAGAATGCTTCAGCACTGGTTTCTTTGCAAACATTTCTTTTAGCATTTCGAACGCCTCTTGGCAGTTTAGGTCCCACTGTAGGGGTTGTCCCAGATGAGGTTTCGTTCCTGGGCTCTCTGTCTTCAAGAGGTTTGTTAGGGGTTTGGCAATTTTCGCAAAGGAGGGGGTGAATTTCCTGTAGAAGTTCGTGAACCCTAGGAAGCTTTGTAGCTGTCTGAGGGGGCAAAGGGGTTTCCAGTTTAAGACGGCTTGTACTTTGGCTGGGTCTATCTCTATTCTCTCATTTGACACTCGGTAACCCAGGTAGTCTAACCGTGCATGGTGGAATTCACATTTTGATACCTTGATGTACAGGTTGGCTGTCAGAAGTTTTTCCAGTACTTGATGGACTAGGGGTATGTGGTTGTTCATGGTCTCAGTGTAGATAAGGATGTCAATCAGGTAGACAAGGACCCCCTTGTAGAGGTGCTCATGCAGCACCTCGTTTATTAACTGCATGAATACTGCTGGGGGCCCCTGCCATCCGAAAGGCATCACTTTGAATTGAAAGCTCCCTAGGGGGAAGTTGAATGCTGTTCTCCACTCATCTCCCTCTTTGATAAGTACTCAGTAGTGTGTTTTTCTGAGGTCTAATTTGGTGAAGACTTTTCCCTTAGCCAGATGAGACAGCATGTCCTTCATGAGGTGAAGTTGGTATAGGTTGTGTACGCACACCCCATTTATCCCTCGAAAGTCCACCCACAATCTCGTAGTTCCATCTTTTTTCTCCTTGAAGAGGACTGGTGCCACGACCCATGGCTTGGCTGACTCAATGAACTCCCTTGCTAGGTTTTTGTCTATGTATTTGCGTATCTCTTGCATTTCTCGGGGCGTCATGGCGTACAGTTTGGGCTTGGGTAGTTTTGCCGCGGGGATGATTTCCATAGCACAGTCTATCTCACAGTGAGGAGGCAGAACATCATACTCGGCCTCGCTGAATGCTTCTGTGAGTTCCTGATATTCCATCGGAATCTGTTCCGCTTCTGGAGTTTTGTCGGATGTGGTTTCCAGTTGTTCTTGTGGGCTATTTGGGGGGGGTTCCTGTGTGGGTGGTGTTTGTGCTAGCTAGTGTGGGAGGGTTGGGGGGCCCTTGATATCCTAAGTCTGCAGGTATCCTCTTACCACCAGATGGTTGGTCCCCACTTGTCTAGGCAGGAAAGTCCCAGTATGACTATGTCTGTCATTTTGGGGGCTATTATGAATCGAATTACTTCCCAGTGATCCACTAGCTCTAGCCTCACTGGTTCAGTCAGGTGGGTGGCATAGGCTCCTTCCACTAGGGACCCGTCAACCTGCTCGAACCAGATCAGGTGGGCCAGTCTTTTTGCTCTGATCCCCTGTTTCAGGACTGTGGTTAGGTTGATCAAGCACCATGTGCAGCCTGAGTCTATTAGGGCTTGAAAATCCCCCTGTTTTCCTGTTTTTGGGGCTGTGAGGCATATTGGAAAAAGGAATGGGTGAATTGGTTCACTCACCATTGGGTCATTTTCTCCCTCGTCCTCGCTGTCATATGACTCGGGTGACTGGTTGTTGTTGCCTGGAGTTCCACCACTTTTGCCTGAGGGGGAAGGGGCCTCTACAGCCTGGAGGGCTTTTCCAGACATGTTGATGGTCCGTTTGGGGTCTCATTCTGGTCGTTCCTGGGTGATGGGTCTGGCTTTGGTTTTGGGGCTGGGCTTGGGCATACAGCTGCCATGTGGCCCATCCCCCCGCATTGGTAGCATTTCAGCAGACTTTGAGGGAGGGCCTGCTATGGTGCTGTGGTTCCCCGTTGGCTGGGTGATTCAGGTCAGGTTGATCTTTCTCTTTTGTGTTCGGTTGCTTTCTCATGTTGTTGGTGTACAGCCCACTGCCGAATTTTATTGCTACTTGGAACCACTCAGAGAGTTGATTTGGGATGTTGCACTATGCGGTTACGTGGGCCATTTGTTTGTCCAGGGAGAGAGGAAACACCAAGCTTGTCCTCGCATCTTCCAAGGAGTTTCTGTGCCACCTCACAAGAGCACCTGTTTTCAGTTTTACGCCACAAAAAATTGGCTCGTGCAAAGGAGAGAGGATTTAAGGGGAGGAGGAAATGGCTGTGGGAGGTGATTTTTAACCAACACATTGTTAAATGCCCTTTTACAGGAGGGTGGAACTAATTTTGCAAAGCGAGAATGAGAGAAAGAGTGCAGGAGGAAATGACGCTATGGAGCACATTCCAGGCTATGTGGTGAGAAGTGTGCTGCCTTTGATGCTGCCCTTCGCAGGGGTCTAGTGGGGAGAGCAAGTGCCATGCTAGAGCCCTGCAAAGGGTCTGGGCCCCTTCAGCAGGTGTCCCTCCAAGAGGGCTTTCACAATCCTGAGCTCCTCCTCTTTGAGAAACCAAGTCCCTTTTCTGTCCCCATGAAAATCATCTCCCACCCCACACACTCCAGTTCTGCGTAGGGTGTTAGGGTAGGGTGTTAGGGTTTGTTTTAAATTGATAAAAAGACCTGTTCTGCTCGTTATTAAAATCTGAGTGGAAGTTAGGATCCCTGCTGCCTTTAACTGCCCAAAAATGCAAGGCACACAGGTGGCAATGATCTGTGTCAACTCCTGCAGCCTGGAACAGCTGATTGGCTGTTCAATCAGCTGCTCCTGCTGAATCAGGCTGCTGAAGCTATTTGCTGTTTTCTGCAAGGATGCTAGCCAGATTAATACTGATTAATACCGAGGCAGAGGCCGAAACTTTTTTTCCTGTTTTTCTTCCCCAAAATTAGGGTACATCTTATACTCCAGTGCATCTTACACTCCGAAAAATATGGTACATCTTCCTGATTTATTAGCATTTTCAAAAAAGCTTTGTTTTGTTCTTTTAATTTGTTGTGCCGGTTCTTTTTCCATTAAGTTTAATTTATATTTTATTGTTTCCATTTGAATTTTTAAATTTCTTTTCTGTGGTTCTTTTTGTAAGTCAGCTTTGTAAGTCTTTTATACTCTTATTCTAGTGTCTGTTGATCATGTTTCTTCCTGTTGTTTTTCCTTGCTATATAGGTTATAGCTAACTCCCTAACATATGCTTTGGCTGTATTCCATACATTTTGTAACGAGTTCTCTTCTTTTCTATTCACTTTGAAGAATAATTCCATTTCATCTGATAACTTTATGTGGCAGAGTAGTAATGTAGTGGTAGAACTGCATGTGAATCTTTTCAGTTCTAAACTTTATTTAATTCATTTTGAAAGCATGCCAGGAGGTATGGTTGGATGGACTACAAATAAGAGAAAATGAAAGAAGAAAATATTGCTGTCCTTTGGTCAAGTTGGTATTGATAATTAATACTGCCTTGTGATATCTTGAAATTAATTTATGTGAACTTTTTGTCTTAACTGGAATTGGGTTGTATGCAAACTTTGCAAGCTTCTAGAAGAAGAAAATGCCAGGTTGGTTATAACTTCCACAATTCTGCAGTTGGCCTTGATGTTGTAACTTCTGGGAGTTGTACTACAAGATGGGGAGAATCTAGTGGGCTAACTATGTTGTAGACCCACAAAGACCACACAAAGTTAGTGCTGATCCATTTGAACAAAAGCTAGAGTTTTAGTGGACTATTATGTCATAGGATTCCAAGGAGTAATTCTAAAAAAACCTGTATTGAAGATGTTGTGTTTCTTTGTTTTTTCATGTACATGTAGTACTAGGTTTTCATTTAGCAGCTGAGATAACAATTTTCTGGATGCAGCCTTAACTATCCAAAATTGGACATTGTTTGCATATTCAGTTTCAAGAATGATTGAAAAGACTAATCTTTTAAGTTACTTGCAAAGGGATGTTACTTAATTATTTGCTGAATAAATAGCTGTTTCCAGGGGATATATATATATATTTGCTCTTACTTTAGTTATTTACTTGCCATTGCATTTCTTTCATTTCAGACAAGAAGGAGTAGAAAATGGCATTTATATTCCAATTGAAGTAACAGTTCGGATTCAGGATGGGAAAATAGTTAAATGTCGTAGTTATCAGATGAATGACTATGTCCTTGATCTTCCTTCTCCACAATATAAGAAGGTACCATATTGTCTTTTGCAATTCTATGCACTAAGGATTCATTTCCCACTGAAAGTTCATTATCTATTCTAGAACCACATGTATAATTTAAGGTAATAGAACCTAGGAAAAAAATAATTGGTTTCATGTAAAAGATAAAAACTAATTCCAATACTGTTACAGTTAACAAATATGTGAATATATTTGATTTATGAGATAATTATCAAGTTAATATTAATAATTATATGTGTATAGCTGGGCATATTGATCAATAATAAATTTTACTGCAAACAATAAAGCTTTGCAATACAGTTTACTTTGGCACCATAGCTGAGTTTTCTGCTGTGTAGGACTTTTTACTCAGAATAAATTATAAAAAATTACTCCATGTTTACTATAGATTCTCTTAAGCCCCATCTTTATCTTTTTCTCTCATTGGCACATATCTATGAAACATTTGCTGCATTGAAATAAGGTGTTTCTGTTTGCATGTTAACACTGGGGTTTACTGCTGGTACAGTGGTCTAGCCAAACTTATTACTTTCATTTCTGAAAACTGGCAATATTGATCAGACATATGGACTCACCATGCATCTTGTATTATGTTGCTCTAATGGCTTTTCAAAAATTGCTTCCCTTTATTGTAGCCATAGTTGTAATGGAGGGATTTTCTGAAGCTTTGTACTTTTTATTGATCCTCCAGAAATTTTTTAAATAATCCTGTTAACTTGAATCCACTGCAGAGCCATCTTAGATTGCAATCGCCATCTTACATTCATCTTACATTCATCTTACATTCATCTTAACTGATGCTCGGACTGTAAATGGATTTGATGTAGAATTAGTTGCAAGTCTGAATACAAGTTCACTTACAACAGTTCATTTAGTGAATATTCAAAGTTACAACAGCACTGAAAAAAGTGACATGGCCATTTTTCACATGACCATTGCAGTAAAGTCCTATAATCATCTTTGCTGCTTTTCTCTGAACAGTCGCAACATTTTTTTTTCTGTATTATGGCGACCAAAAGTGAATGCAATAATCCACCTGTGGTTTTACTAAGTCATTATAAACTAATACTAACACTTCATGTGATTTTGCTTCTATCCCTTTGTTAATGCAGCCAGGCTGCATTGGGTTTTTTGGCAGCTGTAGCACACTGCTGGTTCATATTTAAGCAGTTGTCTACTAAGACTACTTCATTTTGTTCTCAATTTATGAAAAGTGAACATATTAATTATATTCACTCTTATGTCATGCATATAATAAGATGACAGCTTGGTAAGAATTTTTGGAGGTTTCTAAGGTCTTTATCCAATACACGAGTACCTGGAGTTTCAGGTTATACTTATATCAATAGCATGATAGAACAAATATAGCCTATTGTGTTATTAAACCGTGACCCGACAAATGCGCGCATGACAAAAGCGCGCTGACAAAACCGCGGCGAGAAAACCACGATGTCATAAATGCTACTTTGGTCTAACAATCCTGTTAGACAACAGGACGCCAACAACAAGGCGCCAACAAAACCGCACCCACAAAAGCGTGATTTAAGTTAAGGTAAGGGTAAGGGTTAGGGTTAGGTTAGGGTTAGGGTTAGGGTTAGGTTCAGGGTTAGGTTTAGGGTTAGGTTTAGGGTTAGGTTTAAGGTTAGGGTTATTAGGTTGTTATTAGTTGTTTGTTGAAGGAACACTTTTGTTGGCACGCTGTTATCGGTGCACTTCTGCGCTCATTCGTCGGCGCGATTTCGACCTTGCGGTTTTCTCGCCGCAGTTTTGTTGGCACGCTTTTGTCGAGCGCGCATTTGTTGAGCGCACATTTGTCGGTGAACCTTATTAAACTACTACCTGAAATTAGAAATTGATCAGAGAGAAACACTAATTTTTACTAATTTATTTATAAAATGTTCAATTGTCCAAAATTGATTGCCTACATAATTATACATAAAATAAGCAACCCATATAAACTCAGGATTGTTAGACCAAAGTAACATGGCTAAAAACGGCTTCCTAATGACTATCCAATTTATCTAATGCAGTGGTAGTCAACCTGGCCCCTACTGCCCACTAGTGGGCATTCCAGCTTTCATGGTGGGCGGTAGGGGTTTGCTGTAACTCTGGTTTATAAATTTTATAAAGTAAAGTTACTTTCCTACTTTATAAATCACCATTACTGTGGAACCGGTGGGTGGTTAGAAAATTTTACTACTAACAGAGATAAAAAAGTGGGCGGTAGGTATAAAAAGGTTGACTACCCCTGATCTAATGGCTAACTAAGAAGTGTCTAGGGCTTTTTAGAATGTCACAAGGGAAGCGACCAGCCTTACTATTGCTCAGGACAATCTCTAACAATAACTTAAACAAGCCCAATCTTATAGGGCAGACAAATTATTGTGTGCAATTGTTCCTAATTTTATCTGGTCTTTACCATATAAGTTCTAAAGGTAATAATCAGCACTTTGAACAGAGTCCAGTCATGCAGTCATGACACATGGTAACAAAGTGTATGAGATACCACAACCAAGGCTTCTTTGTACTGTTAAGGCCTAAGTGAATATAGAGGCAAAAACTTCCTTAGCCATGGCTTATATCTGCAGATCTACCAAGATCATTGAATCCAGAACAAACCCAAGTAACAGCACTGCTTCTTCAGGGGCAATATGATTCCATCTAGAGCATAGTTGTTCAGCTTTTTGGTTTGCCTGAGCCACATTGAGTGAATAGGAATTGTCTTGGCTGTGTATGAAATATGTAATATAGCCAATTTATATAATAATATACTTCCTTTATTATTTTTAATATTTTTTTTATCTTATGGGGCTGCATTTGGCCCATGAGTTGGACCTGCCTGATTTAGAACCGACATTGGTACTAAAGTAATATTAATTATTTTAGGAATTCCTAAATTATTTCTAGCTAAGATATAAATGGAGCTCCTTTCAAGTCGTCATAGTCTTCACCAAGACTTCCAAAGTATCTTCACCTCAGTTTTACTTCACTAATATCACATACCAGGGGCCTGCCACTTTAAACACTGAAAGAGACTGGTTTCCCACAGAAAAGAAAACACTGGGAGCCTCGAAACCTGGGTTGCCAACTCAACGTCACTCTCCCCAACCACATCACACACACACACACAGCCAGCCAGCCAGCCAGCCAGCCAGCCAGCCAGCCAGCCAGCCAGCCAGCCAGCCAGCCATGCCTACCCAGGTTTTGTGGCTCCTGGTGTTTCTGTGGGAAATGGATCTCTCTTTCATTCTCTCTCTCTCTCTCTCTCTCTCTCTCCCTCTCTCCCTCTCTCTCTCCCCCCTCCTTCCCTCCCTCCCTCTAATTGCTGTTTTTTTCTCTTTTTCTTCTCCCCTCTCTCTCTCTCTCTCCCTCTCTCCCTCTCTCTCTCCCCCCTCCTTCCCTCCCTCCCTCTAATTGCTGTTTTTTTCTCTTTTTCTTCTCCCCCTCTCTCTTTCTCTCCCCTTTTCCCTCTACTTTGTTTCCCACTTTTCCCTCTCTCTTTTTCTCTCCCTCCATCGCTCTCTCATTTCTCTCTCCCTCTTACCCTTCTGTCTCTCTCATTTGTTTCCTTTTTTCCTCTCTCTCATTCTCTCCCTCCATCATGTTCTCATTTCTTTCTCTCTTTCTCTCCTTTCTCATCTTTCTCTCATGCACACAAGCAGGATACCCACCTGGGCTGGGATCACGGTGGCGGTGGCAACAGCAACTCCTCCCACTGCTGCCACTGCACATTCAGGTGTGTAGCCAACTGCACTACACAGGAGAGCCAGAGCTCTTCCCGCCCCACATGCGGCGGCAGTGGCTGCTCTTCCCCATTCCCCTCCTTCCTGAGTCGACATGAAGGAGACTATGGCTGGTGCTGAGCTGCCCGTGAAGGAGTGGAATCGCAAAAAAGCAGCTGGTTGCAGGCAGTGCAAAGAAAATGCTAGGCTCTGCGGTGAGGCTTGCACCTTTTCAAGGCAGAGAACAGGTTGGCATGGAATCACAGGAGAGGAGTCAAAGAGTTACGTGTGGCTCTGGAGCTGCAGGTTGCTGACACTCACACTAAAGTCATGTGATCAAAATGTAGATACTTGGCAACTGTTTATGTGATATTTATGGCAGTTGCAGTGTCCTGGGGTCACCTTTTGTGACCTTCTGACAAGCAAAATCAATAGGGAAGCCAGATTCACTTAATAATTCTGTTACTAACTTAACCACTGCAGTGATTCACTTAACTGACAAGAAAAGTTGTAAAATGGGGCATAATCTATGTAACAAATCTTTTGCTTAGCAGCAGAAATTTGAGCTCTATTGTGGTTGTAAGTCAAGGATAACCTGTATATGTGTGGTAGTAAGAAAATGAAAGTAATGGTTGAGAACTCTCCATTTATATTTTCAAGTAAGTCAACCCTGAAATTCCTTCCAGTCTATACTGGGGAATGGAATGGAAATGTTGGGTTTTCCCAAATTCTAATCTGCAAAGCAAAAGTTGAAAAAAAAATCAATCTTTTATATTTTTCTTTACTTCTAGTTTTTTTTTTTTTTACCCAGGGAAATGATGACAAAGAGGCCTTGTCCAAATATTTCTGGAGATAATCTGCCAACATTTATATTTGTGTGTTGTAATGTAAACAGTTCAGGTTGTATAACCTGCTATGAAATTTAATGTTACAGCATGTCTGGAATAGTTTTACTGGCAATTAATGGCAAGCTCCAATGTGGTAATTACAGATTAGCTTAATGCCAAGACATTTATGTCCTGATCCTTGCATTTTGACTCTTTGTACATTATGCTAACAGAAGCTGTTCTCTTATTTTGAAACGTGCATGAGTCTATATGTGTTTCCCATGGTATTGGACCAACAGAAACATTCTTTTATATTCTAATATTTAACCACAATTTTATCTCTGTAGGAATTTGTCCTTTTTCCCATCATTCAGCTACTGAACTGTAAAGTATATAAAATAGAAATCATTTATGTTATTCCATGTCAGCAAGGATTTTCTTGCCAAGCTGATAATATGTCTGGACTTTCCCCCCAGAGTATATACCTAAATTTTCAGTTACCTGAGTCCCTTGCCACCTACTGTCCTCCTTTAAGACCAGACAAAGCTTTTTAAAAAAGGCTTAAGATATATTACATAGCTGTTGCCAAATATGTACACGAAGGCAGTTAATGAATGCCACACTTGTGGAATTCATCATTAAACTCTGACTTGCCACTCATCTTTTGAGCCACTCATCTTTTGACGAAAGTGCTGGCCTCATCAGATTTTTGCTAATGTGGAGAAGTGATCGTTTATGCTATCTTGACCTTTTAGAGCAGCAATACCAAACTCAAGACCTGGGGGACGGGGAGATCCGGCCCATGGGGTGCTTAGATCCGGCCCATGGGACCGGTCTGGAAATAGCAAAGGTCTGGCCTGCAATGCCTCTGCCAACGAAAAAGAAGCATAGTTTTCATTGGCAAAGGACTGCAGGAGGCCGTCACAGCCAAAAATAGGGTGTGGGCTTCGTTTTTGCTGGCAGAGAGCTATCAAAACAAACTAAAAACAAAAGGAGAAATGTTTCTTCTTTTGCATTTGAGTATCCAAGAAGGAACAGGAAATGAGGGATGAAAGAGGAGAGACAAAGAAAAAGGAAAGATGGAAAGAGAGTGAGGAAGAAAAAATAAGGAAAGAGGGGAAGGAAGAAGAAAGGAGAACGAAGAGGGGAGGAAGGAAGGAGGGAAGAAGGGAGGGACGAGATTATAATGATAGTGAGAGATGGTCTCAGGGAAGTCATACCTTAGCACTTGGCCACCACAGGTGCCCCCGACATAGCCATCATGACTGTGCCTATCTCTGGCCATGCTCCTTGGCCCTCTGAATTCAGACACAACTGTGATGTGGCCCTCAATGAAATTAAGTTTGACACTCCTGTTTTAGAGAATAAGTGGTTGTAATAACAATAAATAAGTGGCTATCTCGTGAAATTGGAGTCATTTTTATTATTTTTGAAATACTTTCTTAATTTGAAATTCAGTGGATGTTATGCAATGAACTGTAAGTGCTTTTGTATCTGTGTTGCTCAACTTATACCAATACCAAGAATGATTTATATTGACTTCTTGATGGAGCTAATGAATGCAACCAGCTGGCTCTTGCCCACTATTTAAAGTAAGGTTTGTTTGAATCAGCTATAATCTATTTCTTCATCCTTATTCCATTTATTTGTGTAAGTAACAGAAACCTAATGCTGGAACCTTTCTATTTTTGTCCTTATAGGTCATCTGTATGGGTGCAAAACAGAATGAATTGCCAGTGGATTATCAAAAGAAATTAAATTCTATAGAGACTAACAACTATGCAGGATCTGTACCAGTGTTGGAGGAAATTGAAGCTGCTCTCAATGCATCAGGGAAACAAAATAATGAAGATCAATTTTAGTATAACTTGCTTTTACTGTGTTGGAATCTTGTGTGTCTATTTATCTTATATTACAATAGCCTAGATATAGTTCAGGAATGTCAAAACTGCAGCCCGTAGGCCAGATGCATCACGCGCTAGCTACGCCCATGCCATTTAGTGAAGAGGAAAAGTCATGATACATCACGTGATGATTCCATGATGATGCAAGTTTGACATCCCTGATATAGTTAATGTCAAAATAACTGGAGGATACTATATACACTACAAGGTATAAGATGATCCTTGATTATTGTTTACCTTTACGTTTTTCTGTTTCTGTATTTCTGCAATAAATTGACACTGGAAATGATTTCCAAATTGTTTCTGCACCAGTTCAATCCAGTTTACAGGTGGATTGGATATTACAGGTAGCCCTTGTCTAACAACTCTGAGTTCAGAAAACAAAGTTACAATAGCACTGAACTAATACTTGTTATGGCCATCCTTGTTATGGCCATTGTAGCACTCCTATCATCATGTAATCAAAATTTGGGCATTTGGCAACCCACCCACATTTCTTTCTTTCTTTATTTTTAATATATTCTTTATTTTTATTTTTATTTTAAATATACATCCACATTATGTGTGAACATAGTTGGTTCTGAGTATCATTCGTGTTAATTCAATTCACAATAACAATATTAGTAAACTCTATCACATTTATCAAATTTAAGTAATCCTCATTATATTGTTCAAACATACATAAACAAGAAATGCCTAACTCCTCATCTTTATCTCTATCTCCATCAATGTCTTTCTTGTTCAATCTAAACATTTTTCTATTATATATGAACAAATTTGACTAGGTATCATTCATATTGACACAATTCATGCTAACATTGTTAATCTATTGCATTTATAAAATTTATTTAATCATATTATTTAATCCTACATAAAAGGAGAATGTCTAACGTCACATCTTCTCATTTTTGCTTGGATTCTTATCCATTTTTTCATATTAATCCAATTCACAATAACAGTATTAGTAATCTCTATCACATTTATCAAATTTATGTAATCCTCGTTATATTGTTCAAACATACATAAACAAAAACTGCCTAACTCTTCATCTTTGTTTCTATCTTCATCTATATCTCTATTGTTGAATCTAAACATTTTTCTATTATATATGAACAAATTTGATCTTCCTTATATTATTTAAAAGTACACAAAAGAAAAATGCCTAACATCTGGAAACTTCTTTCTATTGTTTTTATTCATTCTATAAACAATTTATAGTCTAATATTTCCCCTAATTTTATTTCTGCTTCTTTCAGCTTACAATCAGGCTACTTTAATGTTTAAATGTCAATTCTTTCTATCCATCATCTCTTCTCTTTAGTGCTTCAATTCTTATCCATTTTTAATTCGCCTCCCACACTTCTCATCTTTATCATCTTTATATCTCTTTTTTGTTCAATCTAAACATTTCTCCCAATACAATCTTGTGCTGTCAATTCCCCCAGCTATCTGCCCATATCCCAATCTTCTTATCAAAGGTATCTTCCTGATTCTTGGATTGTTGATTTGTCTGTTTTATTTTCTTCAAACTTTCTTCCTTTGTCAACCCTTCTTTTGCCACAGTCCTTGATTTATTTGTTGATGTGGCCAATCCATCTGTTCTTTCTACTCCTCTTGTTTATCATTTATCTGGTGGTCCTCTTCATCAAACTGCAACTTAATTTGCTGATTTTTCTGATCCATATTTTTTTCCCTGTTCATGTTCCATTTGTTGGCTTAAATGATCCATTTCATTCAATCTTTCTGTTGCTTCCACCAGTTCATGGGCAATATAGTCTTTGTTCCTTGTTCTTTGCAAAATGTTTTCCATTTTCTTATCTGAACCATTGACTGAATTCATAATATTTTGTAACAGCAAGATCATCTCATTAAGAAATACTCTCATTTCCTCAGCTGTTCCTTCAACTCCAGTCATAATAGTGATGAGTAGAATAAACAATTACACCTCAATCAAATTCAGAGAATCCAAAACCCTAGAAGTATGGCTTATTAAATGAGGTTCTCCTGTCAAATTTCCATACTGCCTTTTTTCCAGCGGATATTTTTCATTCAATCTCCATTTCTTTCAAAACTAGGTCAATTGTTTAAATGGGCCACTTCCAGCATTTACTCAATACTTTGATAGTCCAAGATATTTTCCAAGTTTTTAAAGTCTACTCTGTGGTTTTAGTCTTTTATTCTGGCTTCACAGCATCTCTTTTATAAAATGTCTTTCTTATTTCTGCTTCAGTAAGCATAAGGCAATAAATAGCTAGAAATCACAGTGACCAAATATCAAGTATTTTCTCCTCTGTAAATTTCCAGGAGTCTAGGAGTCACTTTTCCTTTCGTCAGTAGATGGCGGTCTCAGCTTACTTTTCAGCATAGATCTCTTTAAAAATATTTTTTTCCACCTAACTAGTTATATTTTTACAGTCTCTTCTCTAGGATTTTTTTTAATCCTTGGGGTAATTTCTAAAGAAAAAGGAATCATCTCACCCAGCAACACAGTCTCTCTTCCCTGCTTTCTTCGCTCTTGCACTTTCTTAGATGTTCTGGCTACCCCCAGCTTCATGGCGGACATGTTGACTTCCGCTGCTCCTCGTTTTTGGATGAGGGGGAATGTCAGTCTCTACTTTCCTTGCTTGCTATTGGCTGCCATAGAAACAGAGAGGGAGGGGACTTGAGATATTTGGGAGGGGGAATTACTGGTGCTGCAGGATTATGAAGAAGGGAGTTTTGTTCTCACCATCTTCTGCACTTGCTGGTGGCCTATGTTTGGACTTGGTCAAGGCCAACTGCCTCGCATATGAACTTGATGAGGTTTTTTTGAAGATGCACCCCACATGACACCTTAGGGAGTTGCAGATTGGACATTGGGTTGAGGAATTGGGGGGAGGGTGCTGGGTAAACGTTTGATATGTACATGTTCACGACTTTTTGGCTCAGATCTTGCTTTCCTTTTTGCTGCTTTCAATTCATATCTAGTAAAAGTACTTTATCTCTATTCAAATGGAGTTGATGTTATTCTGGTTGGATATTGAAGGAGGCATGCCTGACATTAAGCCTGACTCAAAATTGGCAGGGCATTTTGGGTTCATAAAGACATTACATTTGGTTAAAAGACAATTCTGGTGGCCTTCGTTGAAAAAAGACATCGAATCTTATATTGCTAATTGTCCTGTATGTGCAGCTACAAAGAGACCATCAGGGAAACCTCAAGGACTGCTTCAAAGTGTTGCACAACCTGGTGCCCCGTGGAAGGAGATATCATTGGATTTTTTGTCAAGTTACCAGAAAGCCAGGGAAATACTGTGATCTGGGTGATCACCAATTTGTTCTCCAAGCAAGTGCATTTTGTGCCCTGTTCCAAGATTCCTTTGACAAAAACACTGGCTAAACTATTTATTTTACATGTGTATAGGTTACATGGAGTTCCTGAATGCATTATTTCTGATAGGGGAGTCAATTCACCTCCCTCTTCTGGAAAGAGTTGCTGAAGCTAATAGGCTCTGCCCAGGGCCTAGCCATCCACAGACTAATGGGGCTTGTTCTAGAGCAGTATCGTAGGTGCTATGTCAATTATCAACAGGATAATTGGGCCGACCACTTGCCTCATGCGGAGGTAGCATACAACAATTCAGTACATAGCAGTACTGGAATGACCCCTTTTAAGATAGTGTTCAGCCAGGAGTTTGTTCCCATTCCTGAACTGCCTCAAGAGAAACCACAAATCTTATCTTTGTCCGAGTGGAGTAATCAGCTTCAAAGTCTCTGACCCATGACTCGCAATGCGTTACATGCGGCTCACAAAGCACACAAAAGTCAAGCTGATAAAAACAGGTCAAAGGTGAAAGAATACCAGGTTGGGGATAGGGTATTCTTGTCCACTAAGATTCTTCAGACTACAGAGACTAGGTCCTAAATATGTAGGACCTTTCCCACATACAATTGTAAAAATTGTAAATCCTCTGTCAGTACAATTGGAATTGCCAAAAACCCTTAGGCGAATCCATCCTGTGTTTCATGTGAATTTATTCAAACCTGAACATGTCTTTAATGCGCTCACCTCAATCCCCACCCCCTGTTCCTCTCCTTATTGAAGGAGAACAACATTTTGAGATTAAAGAAATCCTGGATTCTAGGAAACAAAGGAGACAAATTCAATATTTGGTAGCCTGGAAACATTTCCCTCCATCCCGTGCTGAGTGGGTGAATAAGTCTGATGTTAGAGCTCCTACACTCTGGAGAAAATTCCATTCTAAGTATCTTGATAAACCCTTATAATATATATAATTTGTTATTGTTGCTGTCTATTTTATCTTCTTCTCCAGGGAAGATGTCCTTTCTGAAGGAGAATGTCAGCCTCTACTTTCCTTGCTTGCTATCGGCTGCCATAGAAACGGGGAGGGAGGGGGCTTAGATATTTGGGAGGGGGAATTACTGATGTTGCAGGAGTATGAAGAAGAGAGTTTTGTTCTCACCATCTTCTGTGCATGCTGGTGGCCTATGTTTGGACTTGGTCAAAGCCAACCGTCTTGCATACCAACTTGATGAGGCTTTTTGAAGATGCACCTCACATGACACCTTAGGGAGTTGCAGATTGGACATTGGGTTGGGGAATTGGGGGGAGGGTGCTGGGTAAATGTCTGATAAGTACATGTTTGTGCCTTTTTGGCTCAGATCTTGCTTTCCTTTTTGCTGCTTTAAATTCATATCTAGTAAAAGTACTTTATCTCTATTCAAATGGAGTTGAGGTTTTTCTTTCTTGGATATTGAAGGAGGCATGCCTGATACAGATTTTCAAGTCAGGGAAGAGAGATACAGCTCTCCTCGACCTGCAAGGCGCCCCCCTCTACTTCATCACCCCTACAGGATGGCTATTGGACTCCTCTGACAGGGAAAGCTTGGTGCAGGGCTGTGGAGCTCATGGTCCTTGCCTCCGATAGTGCTTCAACTCACCCAATTTTCCTATGTCCCATTGCAAAGGTCAGCTGTCAAATGTTTCATTTGATGACCACTTAGCAATTGGAAATGCCATCCCAATCGTATGTATGTATGTATGTATGTATGTATGTATGTATGTATGTATGTATATATATATATATATATGTGTGTGTGTGTGTGTGTGTGTGTGTGTGTGTGTATGTATGTGTGTGTGTATGTATGTGTGTGTGTATAAATAGTATATATATATTTACAAGTCAAAAAACAATTCCCAGTTCAGATATATATATACATCCATGAAATTTTCTTTTCATATTAGAGATGTCCCTATATTGGACAACAATTCTGGGATTTAGAATAGTGAGAAGGGACTTGTAAGAAAAAATATATTTAATACAGCTGAAGTACCTAAAAAGATGAATCAAAAGTATCTTTTTTATAGATTAACAGTTGAAGGAGGTTTTATGTAGTTTTTTGTATGAGTGTCCAATGTGGATCTTTGTAAAAGAATGCCCTCACCTTGACCAGTGAGCGTTTCAAAGCTTAGTGGAGGTGTTCAAAGAACAAACAGCCTATAATGATATTCTGACTTGATTTTGGAAGATAGGAAGAAGAGCCACAGACTGGAGAATGCTTTGCAAAAAATGCCTCAGACCACAGGAGGGAGGACATGGTTTTTGTCTCAGAAGGGACCCATCCTAGTTTTGCAAAGAGCAAAAGGAAAGAAGGCAAAATACGGTCTTGTAAGAGGCTGTTAATCTAAGCTTCCGTTAAATCTAGGGCCAAGTATTAGTTGTGCTAAATCCTGAAAGCTACATATTGTTAGCCTATGACCTACAGGTAAGGTTTAAATTTTATAGAGACACATAGGCTACTTGTTTTTAGGCAGCCTTGCTGGTTTTAAGAACAAGAACTATACTATGAAGTGAAATTCATAAAATTTGGGTGCGAGGACCTCTGCCGGCTTCCTTCCAGTCCTGCAGAGAGCAAGGCAAGGCTGACCGACGCCAATTGGGAGGACTCGGAGGGCTGTCCTGGCAGGGATCTCGGGGGCGGGGGTTTCGAATGAGGAAAGGCAGGGCGTGGACTTTCCTTTGACGCTGAAGTTCCCGCCGCACCCGCAGGAAGCCCGATTGATGAGCCCCGACCCTCGCCCCGCCTCTGCTATTTTTTTCTTTCGCCAGCCCTGTCTATCCGCGTGCAGGTATGCTTGAAGTGCGCCCCGAGGTTGGTGGGGGCGGGAATGTACAGAACGTATGAAAACAGTTGGGGAACAGGAAAAAAAGGCCCCTGGGGTTGCGGAGACACGGGAATTTGGAGCTGAGGCCCGGCAAAGAAGTGTGAGTAGGGCACAAATGACTTTCGCTTCATTGTAGTTGCGCTGCTCGTTGGGCTAGGCGAGGCAACGGGGGCTGCATTAAGCATCTTACAAACAACACAAATGCAACTCGGAAAAGGAGAGATCGATGCTCTTTTCGGCACCGCTTGAGCTCTTTTCTGCAGATCCTTAAATAGTTCCGATCGTCTTGGAAAGAGTTGCCGTTCGAATTGGTAACTGGCACTGGAGAAGCGCACGAGTAAATGTATGTGCCTTAAAAATTCAAACCGATGAAATTGTTTACGGTTTCAGAGTCTGACAGTGAGGGAATCTGTTCTATCTCTTGGGTAGTTGTAAAAGGGAAGATAGGCTGTTAAAACCGAAAGTGCGATTCCTTCTTTGGAACGCCTGGCAGGAAAGAAATGTGAACCTTTCATGGAAAGAGGAATAGATTATATTAGTGGAGAAAAATGTCAACTTACAAGCTATCAATAAACATGAGCAAGGAGGCAAGGAAGATCTAATAAAAAAATTCTTAAAAAGCCTTTTCTGAGAGCAGCTGATAATAAAAAGGAGAGGAAAACAGCCTTTCCCAAAACCAGCAGTGCTCCTTTTTGTTTTCTCAGAAAGCCACAGTTTATTTAAATCAGATTGCAGAACATTGGCTAAGTTTCACCTGACATCAGATGCTAACAAGCTGCAGTGCTTTAAAATCTTGTGAGTTTTGATCAAAGGGTAGGGTATGGATAAGAGTAATACTTAAAAGCCTGTGCCAGTCTTCCCTTAATGAGACATCGGAAAATGTATTGGGTTGAAACTACTGTCAGATGCAAGCAGTAGCAAGATGTGTGATCAGGAGCCAGCACTGTGAAGCAGACTTATTGCTGATAATAAGATAGGAAGTCAAATTCTATAACACTTCAAGGAGATAGAAGGGAACTCCCTAGCAGCATCAATTCCAGTGGCAGAACCAGTTTTTAACTTTAATTCTTAACATGGAATGATAGTCGCACAGCCATGGACTGATACTTGAATTTGGTGAGTGACTTCCTACCCACCACACAAGTGGTGGATTATCTACCAAGTGACTAAAAATTACAAGCTGTTGCTGCAAAGTATGACACAATTGTGCTGAAGGAGCTGTGAATGCAAGCTGAGGGTTTAAGAAGAGGAGAAGGCAGGTCAGGGCCATAATATAGAAGAAACCAGAACTAACTAAATGTACTTCAGGGATAGGCAGTATTTAGCAGATATTTGAGGCTACAATATTAACACTCCCCTGACATTACTTGTGTTAACTGGGACTGCTTGAAGAGGAAACGCAAGACACCCAAAGGGTTCAGTTGCATGCCATAGGCCTAATGCAGTAGTTAGACAATTGGACAAGACAGACCCATAGTGAAACCCTGTCATGAAGTTGTCAGACTGAGTGTGGACTAATAACTGTTTCTCAGATTAACAATGATTTCACATCACAACAGCTATCATAGATGTTAGCTTTTGCAATTCTGTCAGTTGCCTGTTTTCTAGAACAAACATCTTAAATCTAAGCTATAATTTGTGATTAAGCAGTTCAGCAACACCATAAGATGAGCAAAAGGCTAAGTAGAGTTTCTTATTGGCTAGGCTGCTAGGGTGTACATGGAATGGGTTTTAAGCTTTGAGTTAAGGGGAAACCCAAATTAGTCTTAACTAGTTTAATTTTCTTGAGGTGCAACTGTAGGACTGTGTCTGAATTGAAATAATTCAACTCATCACAAAGACACAGTTCATACAACTTCTTCTCACTGATAAATAATTTTATTTGAGAGCTTTCAGTGTAGAAAAGTTTTCCAAGAGAACTGGCTCCTTGTAATAAAAAATATTTTATTTTCTTCTTATCCATCTCTGTGTTTCAAAATATCAGCAATGGAAAAATAACATTAAATGAGAATTGAAAACCTCTCTGCTATTGCTGTGTAAGAATGACTACTCTCAGGATTTCCAGCTGGTATGGGTTGGTACATGATGGATGCTAGGCCAAAGATGATGAACATTTTGTTTTAAGCAAGCTTCCATTTGAGTTGTCAGAAGTATGGAAGGATTTAGCCCCAACTTTAATAATAGAATGGAAATACTGAATTTCTAAAAGTTAGGAGCCTATGATTTGTTTAGCAGTCTGAATTTGTAAACTTTTTCTTAATGTTACATTTTAAAATCCAGGAGTTGGTCTATTAGAGCTTTTCTAACTAAAGTCCCCCCATCTCACAATTAAGTGGAAGAATAAATCTAGGAGAGCCAGTAGACTGTAGTAATCAGATTGTTAACTAGATGTGCTAATATATTCAGAGATGCAGATACTTACTCTAAAGCTCTACCAGGAGCAAGCACTGTCTTTCAACTCTACCTATGTCACATGTTTGCTATAAAAATAAAATGGAGAAAAGATTGGAAATTCAGTAACTATATAATGAATGACCATGGGCAGCCAAAAAAGCACAAGCAACTTTCTACTGGATTCCTCAAAAACTTTGCTTACGGGAAGCTGGCAGGGAACATTGAAAATCATGATCATGTGATGGTAGCTGACTGTGTGACTGCAGGGCATTGCAGTCATTCATAAGTGTGACCATGTGACTGAGGGAGGGCAAACATTAGAATTTTGAATACAGATTGTAAGTAACCCCAGGGAAGACACAATAATGTCAAAAGTTTGCCAAGCGACTGGTTGGAAGCAAGAACTACCTGGGATTAAATAATTAAATACTCTGAATGTGCCCATTGTATTATAATGCAAGATCTCTCTTTTTGAGATGTTTTCCCCCTTACACATTTACTAATAAGATATAGTGAGAGATATTGCTTGAATGAACTCCCTCCCTAAATAAGTGAAACATGGTTATTGCCACAATATTTGTTTTTGTTCCCCTTTTTTTCTTCCTCCTCTGTTCTGAAAAAGGGTTAGCTAAATTGAAGCAGGGTGTGAGTAAAATCTGATAGATTTTTCTAAGATGACCAGAATCTTTTTCTGACAAGAAGAAGTGAAAGTTGTTATAAAATAAAAATAGTTTACTTGTCCTATGCTCATAAAAATTAAAAGGTGAGTATTTTAAATTTCTTGACCAATCTCTTACAATGTAAACCAATATAAAGCAACTGGAACATTTTTTGATTTTGGCTTTCCATGTTGTATCAGTTCAGCCACTGTGGCTTAAGAAAATGTGGTTTATTTCTCACTGAAACATTAAGCCATACATGTATGAAGCCAGCTATTATGGCTTATTTTGTAAATTAATTCTAGGTTAAATTAGCCATTGTACAGTGTTAGTACCCTTACTTCCAAATAAGTATGATTAGTTTGCTTTCAGTTGACCAATCTAGATTTAATCATAAGGTAATGGTACTACTGAAAACAGTGAGACAAATCAGAATTGATTTAAGTAGAACTGTTTTAGAGTGGACATACCTCTAGCAAGATGACCATTGATTCTTCAGCCTTAATCTATAACATCAGACATTTTATTTGCAATCAAGGATCTGCAATGTAATCCAACAGCTGAAATAAAAGCAATAAAGCCCTAAGAACGTACCAGTTAAAATTTATACAGATGGAAAGTAAGCAAAATAAAACAGGAAGACAAAGTAAAACACATGGACTAATGTCTCTGGTTCATTAATGTTTTTTCTAATAAAATTGGATTTTATGGAACCTTCTGTCTAACACTCAACTATAGAATGTTAAAGTAGGTTGGAAAGAAGACTCTAATGTTTTAAAAAGCTGAATGTTATAATACATTTTTATCTTTGCAGATCCACCAAAGTGAGGCATTGATTATCCTGTTGAAATCAGCTCTTAATGTATGTAGCTGCCCAAGTATGAGTTTGGAAAGCACAACCTCTTACTATAATGGCAGAGCAGCTAACTGATAAAACAAAAATTATCCACAAAGCTACAGCAGGAGGAGATTCATTGTCCTTCGTAAACTCACTGAAAGTCCACAGAGAATTGCTAGTCAATCGAATCCGCAATACCCAGTGTTTGATTGACAACTTGATTAAGAATGACTATTTCTCCATAGAAGATGCAGAGATTGCTGCACAGTTTTCTACACAAGCAGACAAGGTACAGTATATATTTTATTTCAGTCTTTGGCTTAAGTGTAGTTTAATAATAAATCATGGTTTAGTGCACTCTATAAACCATGTCTTTACTCACAATCTTTCATATAGGCAAGTGAGCATGGCTGGCTAGAGCGTGTGATAAAAACCCAATTATCAAATCCTCACAACACACAGACAAGTCTGGTTCACATTCAAAAAGGTTTATTTACAGAAAAATAGAAAAGTATTTGTAAAGGCGGCCTCCAAGTCTCCTCCCAAGTGGATTGAGTACAAGGAGAGCAAAGAATAACATTCAAACAATACATTTTATAGACGCTACTCCTAAGAAACTTCCCCCTTCCTACTCATTCATTTACATCGTTTCTTTCGTCATTCCATATTCTAAAGGGTGAACTTGACATTTTCTTGAGAGGCCCCTATCTCTTATATGGTTTTTCTGGTGCCTTTCGTCTGAGCAGATGGCTTCCTATCTACCTTGTACGTAGGCACCTTTAAATGACTTGGAATAACAAAGGTTTATCTTGTCCTGTTTACTTAACATATTTTGTAGTTAGTAAAAACACAATAATGTATTACATATTTTAGGCAAGAATATAATGGCTTATACATTTGACATTGTAAAAGAATACAAAGGCAACCTTTTAACATTTTATAAAAGAGTAACTTAATATCCTTTTCTTCACTCCTACTTTTTCTCTTCTTAGTAACTTACTCTTTTATACCTGCAATTTTTTATACCTACAATAATTCATAATGTCCTAACTTCTCCTTAGGTTCATATGGAAGCAAATTTTTATATTCAGAATTCTCCATCTCCATCCCCTGCTTCCCCACTTTCATTATTAGTATAGGTCTTTCTTTCCATTTGTGATTGATGTAGTTATTAAGGTCATACCACTTATAGTCCTTTTTATTAACATTTATATGAGAGGAATCAAGCACGGTAAAAACATGATAGCTAAAAATCCTAATATTGCAAATGTTGCTAAGTCTTTCCAGTTTGTAAACCACCCACCAAACCAATCATTTTCCCATTTAAAGTTAGCCCTTTCCAGGTTTGGGCTGGAACATGGGCTAGCTTTATCATTCAGTCTATAATTTCCTTTACTACTTTCCCACTCTCATCTATTTCAACAATTCCCACTCTCACCTATTACAATTACTCAAAATTTTTCCACATATACCTTCTTCTTTAGCTAGAAAATAATCTAAAGC